AAGGTCACTACATAGCAAATTATTTTTAAAGACAAAATCGTCTGTAATGCCTATTTAGAATAATCATTTTGTATGATTTTATATTATTTATGTAATTAATTTATACCCTTAACATGTGTACAAATTTTAGTTCATCAATTATTATTACGCAGAGTTTAAAGGAATAAATATATAAAGGTAATATAAATACGCTTTTGAATCGATAGATAAAGATATAAAATGACTGTGAGCTTAAATGTGTCTCTCTCAACTCTCTCAAGCGAGACATTTTCTTTTAGTTGTCCTCTTTCATAGACAGCTATTTTCTTCTTGTTGTGTACATTAATACTTTTATTTAATAAGAGAATTGCACTGTTTCTCTTAGTTTCACTCTTTCTCAGCATGTGATTGGTTGTTACTTATGTCACTCCTAAACTCAGGATCACTTCTTCACTTCTATTCTTGCTGATCCACTGTCCTCAAGAGTCGAGCTCCAATTCTAAACAAACACACCAGAACAAGCTAATCAACATTTTCAGTATTACTCGAAAATTATTGGCAGGTATTGTCAGTCTGGTTTGATGTGAGCTCATGGCTTGTCTTGTGTTCCTTGTGCCGTGTGCTCTCTTGTCAATTGTCTGGCCCCTCCCATCTTGTTACCTGATTATTGATTGATTTGCCCCACCTGTCTTGTTTGTTACCCTCTTATGTTTATTTCCCTATTTAGTCTCCCTTTGTTTACAGTCCTGTGATGGTTTGTTGTCTAAGTTTTCCATGTTTCTCGTGTTTCCTTATCTTGCCTGTTTTTGTTCTTGTTTTCCCCCATGAGGGAGTTTTGATTGCGTTTGTTTGTTTATTTACTTAATAAATACAGTATTAACCCATTGTTTCTGCACTTGAGTCCTCGCACATTAATCCACCCATTCCGTTGCAGGCTAAGCTATAGGTATCGAGCTAAATTAAAGAAGAATTTCGTGTAAGATTCATAACATATATGGTGTTCGGCATGTAAGAGTTTCCATGATGAAAGCATTGTGCTTACATCATCTTTTAAAAGTGACCCATATCCGATTTTTGCATGTACACTATACACTGCTGAAATTACCAAATGTAGACGTTCTGATCTGGGAAATTAAGCAAAACAGCACGAAATTCAATGGATGCAGATGCAAATAAAATTATCCAGTGTTTTCTTTCCACAATATTTCAATAAGTCATCAAAACATTGGTCTCGTACGGCGGAGAAAAAAAGAGGAGAGGCTCTTGCCACGAGCACTTAAAACGATTCCTCACATCTCGTGAAATGTCTTCAAAAACGGATTTATTTCTGTAACAACCCTGCATTTTTGCCTGCACTCTTCACCCCAAACACTCAAAAGACATGAAACCTCCACATTGCTCCACTGTGTGTGTATCCTTTCTTCCATCGCGCCTATAATCGCGCACTTTTTAATCGCGCACTTTTTAATGACTCGCATTACCGGGGAATATCCGATTTGTCTGCTTACATGGCGCACGCAAATACACGTATCCGATTGATAACCATATGAATGAGGCCTGAATCCGATCTAAGAAAATCGGAATCCATGCGTTTTTTTCCTGCTTACATGTTCACTGGTAATATCCGATCTGTGCCACATGAGAGGAAAAAATCGGATTTGGGTCACTTGAACCATGCAGTGTAAACAAGGCCAAGATCTCATGAAATGGCGTATGTATGACCAATTCGTATTTCCATTTTTATTATTATGCGTGTTGATAGCACACATAATAATAAAATTGATAAATAATTCATAATCGCATAATTGCTTTTCAGCGTGTTTATGAACGCCGTTGACTTAACGTTACATTACTGTATATATAAATCTATGACCTACCCCAACCCGGTCCCTAAACCTACCCGTCACTGGGGTTAATACGATTCATGAGTCTTCACGAGTCTTTAGAGTCATTCGATTTTTATACTCTTTTTATCAGAGTACTTACATTTTAATTATGCATTGATATATATATATATATATATATATATATATATATAGAAAGTTTAAACAAATTTGGAAAAAAGTTTTTTTTTAAATAAAATTCCTACCTACAATACCTTTAAAAGTGCTTTTTGTACCTTGTAAGCACACTTTTTAGATAAATAACCCAGAATTGTGAGCTATACATCAGCCCGTGGGCATGCCATCCGGGACTGAGGCTGACACTATAGGCTTTGTTTTGATTTACCACCTATTATTTTCAACAGGTCCTCAGATCAGCCAATGAGGCTAATTTTATTGTATATAATGACCTCAGATCGCTTCAAATGCAACCCTTATTTTTATAATGCATCAGTAACAACCCAGTAGGGTCAGCTGTCATTGATTCAGGTATATTTTGTTTTATCAGAACAAGAAATATTTTCAAACAGGCTTGAAATATTGGCCTCCATGACTTTTCTGCCACCTGAGCCAGCCAAGCTATCAGACAATCTATTTATCTAATCAATACAACAGATGAGGTACAATCAAGACTAAAAAGAGAAAAGGACAGCGTGTGTGAGTGTGTGAGAGAGAGAGAGAGAGAGAGAGAGAGAGAGAGAGAGAGAGAGAGAGAGAGAGAGAGTGAACAGCGCATTCAATTAAAACCAACCTGATTTGTGACCATGGGAATAAAACTTGCAGATAGCATTTATTCAACCTGCCACAACAACTGCTACAAGCAATTTTTCAAAGGTTTTTTTTTTTCATTGTAACCTGTGTTACATTCCAACCTGTAGCTGGAAATAACACAGAGGAAGCACAAAAGAACAAGGAAATTAATTGCAGTCCAAAAGACCACTAGTCTGTGAAAGGCTTCGAGCCAAGCAGCTCGAAAGAACAGGAAAACGCTTCAGTTTCTAGGCAGGTGATCAACGGGATCACACATTCTATTTTTCTTAATTTAGCACATACCCAAAGTCATTTTAAAATGGAAAACCTCACCTGGGGATTGCTGGGTTCATTGTAAGTCATGATCATTTTGTTTAAAAAAAATTCTTCACCTCAAAGAGCATGCACAGAGAAGTCCAAATTAAACCTGATTTAATGACTCGTGAATGTAAGTACACACTGATGGCCTAAGACACGAAACGAGCGGTTTGTGTGAGAAAACAAAAAGCATTTATATAGTTTTTACCTCTTGTTAACAGCTATGTTGAACTGATCTGAATCAGATGTCCAACTGAACCGAACTGAACCGTCTCCAGACGTTACGCCGGAAGTGATCTCTCGCGCATCTACGTCACGCATTGTTTACACGGAGACTTCGGAAGTTTTACCTTTCACTAAACATATTTAGATATATCGAAATCGGTATATCTAAATAAAATGAAAAATGTCAAAATTGAAAAATACTGTGGAAACAAAGAAACCTACATCTTGGATGCCCTTGAGGTAAGCTAAAACATACCAAAAATTAATTTCAAAGTGAACTATCCCTTTAACTAGTCATAGAAAATGGCGATGGGTTGAGAGATTTCTTTGAAGTAGACTTTGGGCCTGCCAAATCAATTGAAAAAGGAAGTGGGGACAAGTACACTCACTGGTAAATTGATAAAATGACTGCATTTGGAAATAATAGAAGTATTTTGTGTTGTCTGCTTCAGTTAATGTTTAAATCATATTTGATCTAAATCAGTTTTTGGTTATTTTAGTACTGTCCTTCAACATATTGGATTTGAAATTAAACAATAATTAGGAGTTTAAAATGAAGAATTTAATCTTATGTATAAAGTCATTTATTTCTATTTTATTATTTGTAAATTATTTGTTAATCAAATTCAAAGAATCTGCAAATATGATCATTTTATTTAGGTTCATAGGAGCTTGTGCAAAACACCTTCAAATACTGCCACAAATACCTTCTGATTAGCTAAACAAATCTTTTTATTTTATTGTTTACAGAAACTAAGGCTGTTACAGAGATCGGGGTGATATCTGAGAACAGTTATTTAACTTTTGGGATAAAAACTTTGGGCATTTTAAAACAACTTACAGCACCTGTAATGATAGGCTAAGGTTAAAAGGGGGGTATATAAAAAGAACTTGACAGATGTCTGTACTTTGACATTTGAAACGAACTGAATTTCCTTTAACCCAACCCATTGTGGAACATATTTTCTGACATATTCAAAAACAATTCGCTGTCATGCAATATTAAAAGGTGCTCAGGCACGGTCTCCTTTTAGTCTGCAAATACAGCATAATTGGCCAATTTTAGACACTTTAATAATTAACGAGGCAAAAATAAGGAGCACTTTATCTCCCCACAAAAATGACAGCTCAGAAGGAGTTTTCAGTGCGACCGGGCAGTCTGTCAGCACATAGACTGCGACTCACAATTAGTCATTACTCTGTATCAATCAAACTAATTTGGAATAAATACTGTAGAAAAGCACCTTGTGTAAATGGGAGTTCTCCATCACCAGCTCTATAATACATTTACTGACAAGTTTGTTTGCCAACCCAAACTGTGCCCTTAAGTGTCCTGTGCTAGCAGGACACCAATGCGGTTTAAATGTATAGCTGTTCACCGCAAAAAAACCTGTTAATTTAATTCAAATCTGTTTTCAGGCTTAACACCTTCTGTCTGTATAAAAACCAATATAGAATCAACACTTTATTTTTTTCCTGGAAAAGTTCCTTTATTCTCAATCATTCACAAAGCATGATTGAACATGACAATCAAATCAACAAAAATGCCACTTGTGTTTAACACTGAATTATCGTTCAAAAAAGGGAAGACTTGAAACAACTTAAACATTATGGGTAAATGGACCAGAGTTCTGTACATTAGAAAAAAAAAATCAAAGCACATATAACCACACTGTGGCACTTGAACCATTTCACTTCAAGGCAGAACAACATGTATAATGCAGTTATACTTTTAAATAAATAAAATACTGATAATAACAGATACGAACAGTGATAAGAAAGAGAATTAACAAATTGTATAAAAAATATTTTTACCTTTAGGGGAGATAAAAATGGAAAAACGTAAAGCTGTATTAAGAAGGCCTCTTGAATATCATTCCCATGGATTCCATGCAGACGTTAAGTTATTAAAACTTCACAAATGAAGTTTGCCACATTCAAATGGCTGACGCAAATAAATTAAACATATGGGGTGGGGTGGGGGGGGGGTCGCTTTGGAAGAATGATGTAGGGTGAATTTGGGTTGACTTGTTCCTAGTCATTTCAATGGCAAAAACTAAATGTCCTACAGAATACAAAGTACACATGGAGCTTATAACAAGCACATCACATGTCATTATGATGTTATGAATGTTTGGCTGCTTCTCTTTGCCAACTGGTCATTATCATTCCCACGTGACAAAATTCCTGTGCAAGTGAAAAAGCAACACTTGTTTACATTTACCCTGAGAATGAATGAGAGGTCTCCAGACCACACTGGATTATTAGACAAAATTTTTAAGGCATACCAGATGTGTGTCGAGACACTGCTTAACAAAAACCAATATAAACAATTACACAAACAAAACACATTCAAGATTAGAAGGGGTATCAACAGTGTGATTGTGAGCGTGAGCTTTTTCACATTAATCATCCATGGCTTTTAAAACCACAATGGGCTTGATTTTTTTTTTTTTTGCATAGTCCAACTTCTATACTACTCAGTACTGTTCTTTGTCATTCAAACATTATCTACTGTTCTTACTTTCCACCTTTCGACTTGCGCGGCCATCTTTGTTTTACACCTGCACTCTCATAATTCTTATTCTTTCTCCAACAAAGTAGTCTCAGATTTAACCCAAGTGGGTTTAGAGTTTGGTTTCAGGTCCTCGTGCTGTTAGAACTGGGAAAGAACTGCGTATTCTGGCAAGCTCCATCGCACACAGATGGCCGAACACTTTGTTATACCAATCAGGAGAGCGCCCCCTGTGGAACACAAATACAAAAGATTAAAATTCATGGTGACCTTCATTTAATATTATTGTAAACATTAGCGTGCTATTTTTGTTCAGTGTATTGAGGAGCATCAAAAACCACATGCAGTCGTGTGCCTGAGACAAATTGTTTGTTAAACCAGTGTGTCTTACCGTAGATCAGCTCTGCAGTAGTGTGTGAGCCGGGACCGCCCCATTCCACACGGCTCAATGAAGATGCGTGATGTCAGAAGCACAGCCCGTAACCCTGCCTCCACCTGGACGTTATCATGGTCCACAGAGGAGGACACCAGAACGCAGAGCCCCTTTGGAAGATCGCTACACCAACGTCTGCAATACAAAATACAACCATTACCACGAGGCATTTGCAAACTCAATGACTAAAAAAAAACATTTAATAAACTATTTGTGTTAAAATACTATTATCATAATATTAACAATCAAATTCTAAAAATAAAAAAATAAAAAAATACATTTCTCATATAATATTTTTAAAAATATTTAAATATATAAAATAAAAAATATATATATTTTTTTTTTAAAAATATTTAAAAATATGCATTATTTTTAATTGAAGGACATTCTGTTCTTGAAACTTCTTAAAATTAATTGTGGTATTCATTTAATTCAATATTCTATTCTAACTACAGCAGAAATAACGGAAATCTATAAGAAATATCAGAAATATCAGAAAGACTATATCGGGTAGCCTTTGAATATCGTGTTGGAAAACGAGGGGCTTAATATACAAATAATACACACACTGAACAAACATTTTACACAATTACCTAAAGGGTATATACAGAAGAGAGAAAAAAAAAAACAGGATTTCTAAAGAATCAGTTTGGAACCAACATTCTAATGGGATCCCCAAAAACTCTGCATATAAATCCAGATCTTACTGATTCTAGGCAGATGGTGTTTGGATGTGGCACAAAAAAGTATCAAACTGATCACATTAAAAGAGTTTTTTGTAGCTTTGTACCTGAGCACTATGAAATTTCTCCGTGGATGTGGAGCCATGCTGTCTGTGATGTAATGGAAAACCTCAGTGTTATTTTCCAAAGTCTCAATGACTCGACTGTGTAGAAGATCTTCATCCCACAGGTGGCGCTCTCGCAGAACACGCTGCAGCACCACAGCAGGAGGGGCCTCTATTTCTACCGAAACACGCCATAGACGCATTGGCTGCCCATCTCCTACCTGCAAACAACCAGCAGACCGCCACAGTGAGCCCATTGAATCTAGACCCTTTTAGCAGGTGATTTGATGGCAGATGGTCTAAACTCAGTTGGTGCTTGGGCATCTGATATTTGCAGATTAATCTAAGAGGAGACAGAGTGAAGTGCCACATGCTCTAAAATCTCAGTCCCCTGAGTGCAAACAAATCTCTTTCAGGCAAGTCTATCCACTCAGCGGCCATGTTTGAAATGCCTCTCGGGCAGCTATTTCAGTCATGCAAGTACAGCTCCCATCTCTTGAAGTTTACGATTAAATTTCATATTTGAAATCCCCAATGAAATCTGACAACAACGGTGTCATAATTTTTTTTTTAAATGCTGAAATCGTGGAAGTCTCAGAACACTGAGTTGTGACTGTTTCTATAACAATCGCAGCTTCTAACGGCAGCTGCAGTGACGCAATGACTTTACCAATTGGCGATTGGCTCTTTTACTTAGAAGGCGGGACTTATTCCACCATATTGCGCATTGCAGTTTCTCCCATTCATAGTAATACGAGCGCACCGTCTTTGTATATCCTCAGTCTTTGGTGTAGGTGGCAAGAGACAAGAAGGTCTCTAATCTGTCTACTGTGGACATGTACGCTTCAGCCTCCATGACTGATGGAAACTGGCCACTTGTATGACAAACAGAGACAGCAACAAAAATTATCTTCAATCCATTTTGAGGGGAAATTGATTGCCTTTTAACAGTCACATACTTTATAAAAACAATTTTTAAAACTGAAACGGTTATTTGTTCAGCATGTTTCCTAATAATAAAGTTAAACATATAAATATATATATTTTTGTCATTCTGACACAATTTGTCATAATTCAGAGGATATGACTGGGAATCTTTCCAGACACTGGAATTATCTGAATGCTTTGGCATCAGCAACAAGATAAAACCAGCTGCAATTAAAACGGGTTTTTAAGAGGTTTCAAAACCATTATGTGACAATCATATTCATTCTTAATTTGCTTTTACTCTTCTGCAAAGTCTAATTGTAATGATAATCGGCTCTTAAGTTGTATAACTGAAACGTAAATAACATTTACAGAAAAAAAGGATTAAAAACACCTCCCTTATGAAGGTGGTTTATTAATGATTCAGACATCTGAGGTAGATTCTGAATGTCCATAAGAACGGCTAAAATTATCAAGTGATTTCTGAACCATTACTGTCTTGCAGTGCATGGTTTTAGATGGCAGTCACAATGAAAACACCTCACATTAAAAGCATTAAAAGCAATTAAGACCTTATGTCGTTTGTGAGAAAAAGAGAAGCTATCGTGCATATTGGTTGAGGGAATTAAAGTGAACACCTTCCAAGTAAAAATGTTTAATTCAAGACACACTTGTGCTATAATAAAAAGGAAAAACTGTTTAATTTATATAAAGCGTGTAACCTTCATGCACAGTCACTGTGTTGAGGACAGCCTGCCACAGGTAGATTCACCGCTGTGCCATGCTCCCTTACATTTATTAATCATTTCTAAATTGATTCAACCACACTCCAATTGAGATTTAGTGACCTGGAAATGTGCTTGTATCTATCCTACCCTCATGTTTTTCCATTCCTCTTTTCACAGAGTTGCTGAGAGTGCTCCTTTTTCTTCAAGTGCTGCCTCAGTAGTCACTCACTAACAGTTGCACAGGTGTATTTATACTATAATAGATTTTTTTATATATTCATAATTATTTTTTTCATTACTTTGTGGAGTTGTAGTTAAAGAGTTTTAGTCTCTCTCTCTCTCTCTCTCTCTCTCTCTCTCTCTCTCTCTCAAAACATGTTTACTTTTTGTTAAAATTAATTTTATAATTTTTTAATCAAAGTGTCATTTCTCAATCTTCCAGTGAAAAGCCAGACTTCTCTCGAGTGCCGGACCTCTCAAATCATATAGTCTGTTTCTTGCACTCTGCATCAAGTTTGCAGTCAGATCTATCTCTATCCGAGCAACATCTTGGACTAAACTACACATGCCTTTTTCGAAAATACGCTTTACTCAAATGTATGTAACTACTGTTATTTCATTGCAACTTTAAGTGTGTATCACATTTCAGCTGCACATGTCATGTGAAGCTGTAAAAAACGATAATGGACTTTACCGCAAACTCAAAGAGTATATTAGCTAATGCACAAAAGTGTTTACACAAAAGTCTCAAAGCTATAGCAGCAAAAAACAACAACTAATTTGCTTGTATTAATTTATTAGTAATTACAAGTATGTATATATATCTATATATGTAATTATATTATGTAATTAAAGCTTTAGAGAAACTCTTCTGAGGATGTGTCTGTATCTCTACCTTTTTATAAGCCAGTTCAGTGTTGTCGGGTCCATGGGCATGATGCCAGCCTTTACTCCGCTCAGATGCCTCTCTGAGAAGACACTGAATGTTGTCTTCCAGATACGCCCTATAATCCACAGGCTCGCCCAGGGCATTCACCCCGAACCCGTGCAGAGGCAATGGCTGGGCATCAGCTGCCACATAAGAATTCCTAGACTGAAGCATCATTTCATGCGGGATCTGCAGAAAGTAACAGGTACAGAAAGCTGATCAGTGCAAAAATGAGCTTCAAATGTTTTGTCTGCAATGGATGCAGACAATGACATTAGAAATTAAAATGTGGCTACCTGGAACAGTTTCTTGCATTCCGTGATCAAGTGACTAAGGCAATGTGTGGCAGCCATGTTCTCACTTAAGTCCTTTTGGACAGGCTTGTCTCCGCCTCTCCTGGTCATGAGCCTTTAAACAAACCGAACATAGATAAAGATAACCAAAACGTTGACAAAAAACCCAAACACCAACAACTAAAAAACTGGTCTGACTCTGAGAGAGATTGACAGATCTTGAATACTGTTACTATTAATTGTTTTAGAAAAACTGGTTGTAATCTTTGATTCCATTCTGTTAAGATGTTTACATTCCATCAACTTTTTAGAACATTAAAGCTGCAGTCTGCAGTTTTTCCAGTCTTTCATCTCTGTTCAAAATCTGCAATTGCAGTCATTTGCAGAATTATCAACTTTGTGCGAGTTGTACTGTACTTCAACACCCTCGACACGGCACAGCGCGGATGAACACAATGTTTGAGGAGACTGTGAGGCTGTCAATCACCACGTCGATGTGGATACTGGCATTCAGAATCACAGATTATTCTTTTTGGAAGTATGACCATAAAAATTTTGTGGTTTCTGGTTCTGACATTGCAGTAAATTGCGCTGATTAAATCACTTATAAGTTATCATATCACTCAAAATTTCAGGCGTGATACTCGACGATGGAAAGAGCAAAGAAAACGCGGTCGGAAGAGACTAGGAAAAGATAACCCTGACCGCGTGAGGATCCAGACAAGAGTCCCACTCGGTCAGGCTTTTCCATAAATGGGGATTTCACTCGTTGGCACGGGCTAAAAAGCAGCACTGGATGCAACAGTGTTGCGATCTTGTTGATGGACTAGTAAGTACATATTTCTAAGTTTGTGTGCATTTTATTTTGTGATTTCACCGGAATGAACAGAGAGAGTCCACAACGGCAATAGAATGAAGAGTGCATCCAAGTGGAGACAGATAGGGTGACCAGATGTCCTGAAAAATCCAGGACAATCTCAAAATCTAAGCTGTTGTCCCGAATTTGGCTCTAAGTGTCCCGAAATTATACTTAAGCAAAACCTTGAGTAGTTATTGTCTGATACAATATTAAAAACTGGTTGAGTCGGCCCCCGCTGGTGGCTAATTGGCTGCAGCATCTTTTCTGTTTCTTTTTTTGAAGTTCTACAAAGAAGTAGGCATGAATTTAGACATACATTGATAAGCAAATTTTCATTCATTCGTTTCATTGACATGGCTGGTGTACTGGAACCACAACACAACGTTTTTTAGTGGCAGACTAAAAACTAATGACAGATTGTTGTTGATCTTTGAAAAAAAAAAATGTTTGGTTCAGGTTTGAAATTCATTATTTTTTATTAAAGGTCTAGTATCATAGTAGGCCTACCCATAAGTACCCCCTAGATCTCTTATTTAAATGCACACTTTGCAAGATTCAACCTTAATGTAACAGCTTCAAAGGGGTATCAGCATGAGCGGTATTTACGACAGCAACTTTACAAGTACTCCACAGCGACTCTAGGAGTCGCTGTTTGACATAAACTGAAATCCCAGCATAGTGTGCCTTTAAATGTTAACAACATCAGCATTGCGTGACTACATGTAATGTCCTTCCGATATGTATCCTTGTTTTCTCATTGGTCCGGTTGCAGACTCTTTTTTTTCTGTAAGTTAGCCACTCCAAAGTCCAAACGAAGTCTTTTGCATTTTACAGCGGGTGAATCTGTTGTCACTGGTGATTGTTGTTTGAACCTTTCTGGATCCGCCATCAAATTGATAAGTTTAATTATATCAAGTGCTGTGAGAAAAAGCTATAAATCTCCACGTCCAACATCCTCACACGCAATATAGCCTACTAACCGAGACTCCTTTATGTGTACAGATGTGACGTAATGACGCAAAGACATGCTCGAATCTCTCGCAGAAATCCACCAGTACCACTGGAATTAAAAACATTATTACAAGCTTACTGCCTTGAATCAGGTTACGGCAAGCAGATCGTTTTTAAAACTGGCTGGTTACGTATTTTCTCAAATATGTATTTTGGATCACTACGGACTGCAGTCGCTTTTCTTGTGGGGATATGACACACACCTTGGTGAAGCTCCATCTTTCTTGGAGGCATTCAGGTGCAGTATGGAGGGTGCGAGACAGACAGCCAGACTCTCCGCAGTCATCTGGTTTTCCTGCGCAGATGCAATATCACTGAGGAAATAGAGCAACGTCTGTAGAACCTCTCTGTTCTCATCAGGCAGCAGGATCACGGCTGCCTGTACGGCCTGTAAACGCTGCTCTGCTGGAACGACTACACACACATACACACGTGGAGGAGATTTGTAAAGCTTACTGAAGCAATGATGTGTTAAAAAATGTGTGAGAATGTGTGTGTCACTCACACTGATACGCATGTAGAAAAGTGTCTGTAAGCTTGGACGTGAGCACAGGTTCAGGCAGATCTCTAAAGTACTGTTTAATCAGGTCAGCCACATCATAGGCTGATTGACCCTGGTAGGTCACATGATCGGGGGAATTCTCATTGAGCTGTCTGAGGGCCTGGATCCGGGATTTAACCCCTGATTTGCGGAATATTCCCACCTGTAGAGAGGAATTATAGATAAGAAGCTGTGTTTGTGTGGTTGAGCGTGTGTGTTTGCTTGCAAACGAACCTTCTCCAGACACTGGCTGCGTAGATATCTCATCGCCTGCTGGATGCTCTGAGGCAGGGGCTGACCAGTTCGCTGGACGTTTACTATAGGCGGAACGCCAAACACATGTTTATCTTTGTAATCTGGAACTTTGGAACGCTTCATAAACTTTGGAACCACCCTGACCAATGACAGAGAGAGAAAATAAAAATACATTATATTTAATGACTCATACAATGATAACTGAACAGGGAGATGAGACCCAACATGCATGAATTCAATTATGCATCTAATTTTATTTATTTAAATTACATTTTTTATTATATCATTTAACTGATTGTTTGCTTATTAATTATTTAATTAAATGTTTCCAAATATACTGATATACTTTTTTGTAGTTATATTAATGTATAAAGAGAAGGTTTTAAAAATAGAATAGTACAAAAATTCAATCAAGAGGTCCACAATAAAACCTGAAATGTCACATCATTGCAAAATAAACTCAAAATCATGGCAGCAGGGTGTAGTGAGAGAGCAAAAGCAAATGGAATTGAAGTATGTATAAATCTTGAAAATTGGATCTGTTCGCTGCCTATGACACCGACACAGATGCAAGCCTTTGACAGTGGGGTGTGTGGAAATGGACTAAAGGGAAAAGATAATGCCTCCTCAGTGACTGGTGCAGAATGAAATGAATCATATTTTAGATCTGCGATCCATGACACTGTCTGATAGACCTATAAGCTTCTCATCAGAAGTCCTTTCTGCAGCTGGAGTTTAAAATGGACACATGCAAAAATTATGAACCAATTTACACTTTGCTCCTAAATAAAAATGAATACATAACTAAAGTGTGTGTGTGTGTGTGTGTGTGTGTATAGATAAACAAAACTGTAATTTGGCAGACATAGATATGGAATGTAATTTTCATAAGCAGAAAAAAGCCAGTGGGGGAACAGATAGAGACAGAATGATACTGTCATTAACTGCATCTGCACCAATAAAAAACACATTTGGCAGAAATTAGATTTCCTGCATCAGACATAAGAGAGCATTAATGCCACAGCTGACCTCACCAGTCAGACAATGTGTCCACTAACAACAGCACACATTTTTTAGAATGTTTTCACATTTTTTTACGATGAATGTATGCATGAATGAGAATGTGCCATCTCACCAGTTCCAGCCATGTTTGCTGGTGTCCGTGTGTTTCTCTAGGATGGCGGTCAGTCGCAAGAGGCTGAATTTTTGCAGCAGGTTGAGTTGGGCGGCCGACTGCCTGTTGATTTCTAAAGACGCAGAAGTCACGCTCGGACGATGAGAGTTTTGGAAACTGTGCCAACGCAACTTTCTGAGTATAGAGAAATGGGTGGAAGAAAGACAATAAAAAGATGAACAGATGGATATAAAAGCAGACCTTTCACTCAGGTCACTCTCTAGGATGTATGGGACACATGAATGATCAGATGAATGATATTCTTAAATGTAAAAATGTACTTGATTGTTTATTTTTAGAACATACATTATTTAGTCTTCAGCATTTAATTGAGTGAGGTTTATTCATAAAAAAAAGAAAGAAAAAAAATGCCAGTATAGGGTTAATGTATATCCTACAGAATAAAAGTAACATTAAGATCATTTTTCTTTCTTTAAATTGTAGTGAACTGAATGGGTGTACCCCAGAGTTCCACTCTAGGTCCTTCAATCTTCATCAGTGATGTGTTTGCTTGAAATCACTGTCACTGTCATCAGGCACCAGTTTAACAAAAGACAAATTGCTTGTCCTGTAACCCTCTCTCTCCATCACATTCTTTCACACAGCAATAGAAACACCTGACCAAGATAAGTGCACTCACAAGTGTGGACATGCCAGAACTTCCTCTGTCTATTAAGTCTAACCATCAGATCTACTCACCTGCTGGGTCTCGTGAGCGATGCTCCCACCCCTGAGTCCCTCCTCTCTCTCATTCCTCCTTCTCCTTCTCCCTCATTCACTGAGTTTCCTGTACTATCGTAATCGCTCACTGTCGTCCCAACATCTGACATGGATTGCTCATCATAGTTCAGACTGCTGGGTAATGTTGTGTCAGCTGTGGATGCAGTCTCCGCATTGGATTGGTCTTGCGGCAGAATGCCGAGCGAGCGCGACCATTCGTCGATGTTATGCTGTAGCCCGTGTACGTGCTGTAGAATGTCGTCCAGGTGCTGGAAGGCTTTCTCTTTTCCAGGGTCGAAAATGTCGCATGGGTTGCCCGGTGTCTCTGAAACATTGTCGTAAATGCTTCCAATTGAGCCCATAGAAATCATTTTCCTCCCAAAACCTGAAAGAAAATCTTGCGACCCACTGCGACTAACGCTTTCATCCAATGAAAGGTCTCCATCTTCTCCTGCCCAGTCACTATGTTCAGGGCTTTGAGAAACAGAGACCAGACAGAGACTTTCGATTGACAGAGATTTGGGGAAGGTTCCAGGCTTGTGATCATAAGGGAGGTGGACCACACGATCCTCTTTCCTTTTACTGTTGTTATGATTGGTTAACTTTGGCATCTCCCAAGTTAACTGGTAGTCCTCCAGGTATAGGCACGCTCTGTGAGGCTTGTGCAAAGTGGATTTCTGGCTAACATTACTGCGGCATATTGTATGTGATCTCCATTCCTCATCTTTGGTGTTTCTGAACTTATTTGCGGTTTGTCCAGGCAAACTTGCATCGGATGTGCAGTGCAGACCTGAGGGTGTCTGATGTCGAGTTACTGTTGAAATGCTCTTTGGGACTTTCTCTCTCTCACTATCCCGCTTCTTTATTGATTCTTTCCTTCGTAAAAATGATCTAGAAGGGCGCTTCGGCTTCTCTCTTACAGACGGCAGGGAAGATGACGATCCGGTGTCATCGTTCTCATCTTGGCCAGGTGGGACGCAAACTGACGATGCACCTTCACCCACCGTGACGTCACTGTAAGCCACAACCTCTGGAGAAGTTGTTTCCCGGGCACTGTCTAAGCTCAAGCTGCTAGCACTGAGGTCAGAGGTCAGTGAGGTGACTTCTAGGAGACTGATGTCACTCAGCACACTATCGCTACTACCCGAGGGTCTTAAGGTCGAGGCCCGGTTGCCAGGGGGGACAAGGGTGGGTGAGAGAGTGCGGAGACGGGACCAAGTTTTACTCTCACGCTGAAAAGCCCAGCGGGAGCTAAGGGCACATGCGTCATCCTCCTCTGAGTCCTCACTCTGCTGATGGTAACACAAACATGCACACTTAGATAACGAAAAGCTTTTTTCAAAAAGCCTATACGAAAAATATTAAAAAGAAAAGTAGCTAACCAGAGTACCAGAATTCACTCTACTAAAAATAGCATAAACACAAGGACAGATACATTTTTAAAAGGATTGTCAAAGTCAAGTTTAAATAATATCATCCAGTGGAAGTCAAAATAAAGGAAAACAGACAAGCAAAGAGCAGTTGTCAGCAGACCATCAGATCACATAATTGGATTAAAAGTGGACGGCATGTTTGTTTGTTTACCTGTTTACAATGAAAATGAACCTCTAAGCTCATCGCAGCACATTTGTTCAGGGTCGTTAGCCTCCTAAACACACACACACACACACAGAGAGAGAGAGAAGTAATAATATAAGCATTAAAACAGTGACATAGGAAGAGAGGATGCATGTAGTCATAAAATCAAAGAAAAGTGGTCATTCACAAGTGGTCAATCTGGTATAATATTACCAGGTGGCAGGTGTAAATGTTTCCTTCAAGTGCACTTGGAAAGCTTAAACCTATCCGATATGTAAGCTTAAACGAGTCCGATATGCGTTATTACAACCTCATGCATTTAAATCAGAAACATAACTTAAAGGCAGTCTGAACAAAATAAAAATAAGTATATTGTGAATAAACCCAAGAATCTGAATTCAAAATTATGTAAATTATTTATTTCTATTACTTATTTATACGCATTTTTTTTTTATAAAGCCAACTTTACACTTGATTTGTATAAGCTGTTCACAGCTTTAAAATGATTAAAATAGAATGTAAAATTAAAATGATGTCCAAAATCATTAATTTCTATTCATTTAAGACTTGCTTTCCACTCAATCTCTGGATTACACAGATATATGATAGCATCTATATTGTAAATCTGTGTTTCCGCCATGTTTCACATCAGCACGGCCCTTCCAATGTCACAATTCATTCTCAACTAGAATTCATACTTTAGAACTTATCAATACAACATTGTTTGGTCATCCATGTGCTCGGAACTCATAATTACTATATTTCAAATCTCACTTGAAGGGCACATTAATATCATGTGTAAATGGGCCCAATGTGTTCTTTTAGCAAGACATATAACCCCAAATAGCCTCAAGGGGACTGCCTCAAGGGACCATGCTCAGTTCAGGCCCTGTATCAGACTTAGCTATGCAGCTAATTTACTTCTGTGGTCCCTGGGCAAGGAAAATAAAAGACAATATAGACAAGCATTATTCACATAAAAACAAGAGACACATATACAATACATGTTATAAAAAAGGTCAATGATTGATCACATAGTTGATTCTCCTTCAGCCAAGTCTTTAACGTCATTTTAAAACTGCTGAGACTTGCACAATCTCTAGTATAATGTGGAATTAAGTTCCACTTTTCTACAACAGTAAATGCAAAAGCTGATAATGAGTATACGATATTTAAGAAAAGTTACATTGAATTAAAGTGTCAGCTTAATTTAAGTACATATTATTTGTTCCTTAAAACAAAAGACACAAACTGTGATGCAAATGTGGACATATCAACTGTCCAGACTTACAACAGAACTTTTGTTAAGAGGCATTCAACACCATGTCATTATTTGATTATCAGTATGTTTAGCGTTCATATGAGTGGCCTAGTAAGTGTACGAGTGATGCATTCATGTGTATTCAGTCCACTCTATTAATTAGTGCACTCATTGTGCTTGGTGTGATCTTATTCTGACTCTGATGCGTGTATATGTAAGAAAGATGATAATAATTCAGCTGTGAAAATCATCACAGTTGAAGCACAGACACTACAAGATGCAGAGATACTGTAGTCCAAACTAGCCGGTATAAAAACACAAGCATAAGTGGCCATCCGTTTTGACTGATGTAGTCGATTCGCACCAATGATCACAGTTGTTCTCTTGAACACACATCGTCACACCATCATAATGTTTGGCACCCAGTGGCCACAGGATTTCTGTTGGACATAATACCTTTTCTGCATGACAGAACAAAACTAATTCTAGAATACAAATAAACAAGAGGGGGGGGGGTGTTCGGTGTGGCATTTGAGATACAGATAATAAGAGTGTGTGAGTTTGTGCACATCGCACATTAGACTAATTACTCTTTGTGAATAATAATCAGCAGGAAGGCAATAAGGATAAATAGCTTTAACAATAGGCTAGCAAGACAATCGCATTCACAAACACTCACAAAGACTTTTAGCTGTGTGCGTCATTAAGCTATTTTTGCCGCCATGCTTGCCAGCTTTATTTTCTTTTTCGAAAGATTAAGAAAATTCTCATACAGAAAAGTGACAAAACCAAATGAAAAAAAATGTATGCATGTATATATATATATATATATATATAGAGAGAGAGAGAGAGAGAGAGAGAGAGAGAGAGAGAGAGAGAGAAAGAAAAAAAATATACATACTCTGGACCACTTTTTCTTTTTCGAAAGATTAAGAAAATTCTCATACAGAAAAGTGACAAAACCAAATGAAAAAAAAAAATGTATGTATGTATATATATATATATATATATATATATATATATATATATAAGAGAGAGAGAGAGAGAGAGAGAGAGAGAGAGAGAGAGAGAGAGAGAGAGAGAGAGAGAGAGAGAGAAATATACATACTCTGGACCACAAAACCATGGGTCAAATTTCATCTGAAAGCTGAATAAATAGCTTTCCATTGATGTATGATATGTTAGGACAATATTTGCCTGAAAATATTTCCCAAAATTTGGAATCTGAGGGTGTAAAAAATAAAAAAAACATTGAGAAAATCGCCTTTAAAGTTGCCCATCAATGTTCGCAATTGTGCTGTATTCACTCACAAACATAATATGCATTTATGGTAGGTTTTTTACAAAATATCTTCATGCAACATGCATGAAGAGAGGATGCATATAGTCATAAAATCAAAGAAAAGTGGTCATTCACAAGTGGTCAATCTGGTATAGTATTTCCAGGTGTAAATGTTTTCTTCAAGTGCACCGGGAAAGCTCAAACCTACCCGATATGTAAGTCCGATATATGCGTTATTACAACCTCATGCATATAAATCAAAAGAAAAATCGACAATTTTGATCTATACAATGTATGGTTGGCTATTGCCCTCCCCCCAATATATATACAAACACACATTTATTTTACACAGATTTACAGATTGTTGTTTACAGATTATTTGTCCATATCTTTTTAGATAACTGGCATCTATCTCAGACAGGTTTGTTAAATAGTTTGCTAGTTGTACTTAAATAAATGGAAACCCTACTTAAAGAGTTTGTTCCAAATATTGTTGTTCCACCTGAGTAGTTTTATCAAACAACACAGGTTGTTTCATATAAAAAGCATGAAAACAACTAATGTTGTGTGGAAACTGAATGTAGATAAGCGAACTATCATAAGAAAAGTATGTATTATGTATTAAAAGGATATTATGTATAAAAATGACATATTAAAAGGACAGTTATAAAAAGTCACGGTTGAGCAGCCAACAGTTGCTGATAATAATAATAATAATAATTTGTTACATTTATATAGCGCTTTTCTGGACACTGGGGATGTATATGGGGATGTATATGGGGATGATTAGGAGGCCATGATGGACAGAGGCCACTGGGCAAATTTGGCCAGGATGCCGGGGTTACACCCCTGCTCTTACGAAAGACATCCTGGGATTTTTTATGACCACAGAGAGTCAGGACCTCGGTTTAACGTCTCATCCGAAGGACGGTGCTCTTTAGTGTCCCCATCACTTTGCTGGGGCATTAGGACCCACACAGACCACAGGGTGAGCACCCCCTGCTGGCCACACTAACACCTCTACCAGCAGCAACCTGGCTTTCTCAGAAGGTCTCCCATCCAGGTACTAACCAGGCTCAGCCCTGCTTAGCTTTAATGGGCAACCAGTCTTGGGCTACAGGGTGATATGGCTGCTGGTTGATATGGCTGCTGGTTGATGTCTCGGGAGTCTCAGAAACCTTCACATGTAGGCTGCCAATTACGGCCAAGATATGCGCAGTTGTATTTCAGCCACCTCTAACCAAAACAGAGAGTAAGAGAAACACTTTCTTTGAAAAACTAAAATCTAAATGTTTAGTTTAAGACAGTCTCTGCATGGAGCAGTTCAGAGACAGTCAGGGACCTGTCAGTGCACTAGTAGCCTGCTGTGGCAAATAGATCAACAGATGAGCTCATCATCTCACCAATGCAAGAGGGCCATCGGGTGTGTGGTGGCCAGAATACATTCAGGGCAATACAACAAGTGATTCTGCTAGGAGACTGGTTTTTTTATGCTGTTGGAAGCGTGAACATCTTAACTTGGAAAAACCTTGATTCCACATAACATAACAAAGTATATAAATACACACTAGGATATACATCCTTACTATACATGGTGCTTGCAATGGTCACAGCAGAGTTTCCAATTAAATTTGAGATTAAGACCTAAAAATAGTCTTTTCTTCCAAGTTTACTTTAAAACAGCTTCTGGAATGAGAACAAGGACGGTACTTTTTTCATGACCTGTAGGGCCGCGGGCGATACTTGATTTTTTACAGTCTATGGAATTGACTGGATCATAGGAAGTTGAACATTGTTAACTAAATGAAGGCAGATTTGAATCCCCGTTTGAGTCAGTTGTGGAGGCTATTAAACCCACCCTAAGCCAAGACATGCGTCATGAAGAGTACGGATGTCGTTTTGGAGGGGGAGGGGTAGCAAACGTTTTTTTTATTAAAGATCACAAGGGCATATGAATTTTAAAAAAATGATGTGCACGAATAAATTATTTATAATAAGAACGGCAACATTCTGTCAAAAAATGATTGTCTATTTTTATTTCATGGTGACTTTAAGACTGTATATGCATAAAGAACAAACCTTTAAAATAAAAATAAAAAGTTTAATTTAACATACGGTGGCAGACATTCAACTACAAAACAGGGTAACTGAGTATTTAAAATACTCAAACTATATGTTATTCAATGTGTACTGAATCTGATTATGTACTAATTTAGAAATACATGCGCATTTATTTAATTAGCAATGCATACATATTGATTAAATCATCATCATTTGATGTTTACTAATCTTTTTTGTTGGCCTAACTGATATAAATGTTAATATACCAACCCATTGAAGTACTAATGTTCATTTTGTACTTTTGTAATACACCAACATCCACCAAAAATAGGTGGTGATGGAAGTCACAAGATGAATCAATGCTAAAAAAAAGCAGCTTGTGTGTACACACAAATACAAAACATCATCATGGTAATAATGACACTAAAGTAATGGAATAAACATTAATTTAACAACATTAGATGTAACATAACCCCTAATGTATAAAAGAATATAATAAACAATTATTTCAAAGAAAATACATTGAATGTGAAGTGTCACACCATGAATACTGGGAATGCCAGTTTACCATTCACTGTAAATCATAAAATGTATTTCTTTTTCACTTCCAAAACAGTAAATTTAACAGTATTTTACTATAAAATAACATTACATGTAAGGTCATCTATTAGTTATTCACTGTGTATAGGTTTTTTACCATTGTATTTTTACAGACTTTTACCATTAATATCACAATCATTACCCCTAGCTCACACAAATCCAGCTTCCTTTTCGACACAGCTTTAAATATAGATAACTATGGAAATGCATATGATTGAATTATGAACACACAAATAGCTGAATCTGAAATTCTAGAACTCTGTTCTCTTAATTCATCGAGCTGTCCTGATGTTTTTTTTATTTATTTTTTATCAGTAACTAACAGCCAACCATACAGTGTGTAACTAGCCACTGTGGGACAAATGGTACATTCAGTCTATATCACGCTCTTCTTCTATCGCCTTAGGACTGACAAGAGTTGCACCCCAGGAAAGATAATGTCCCCTTCTTTGTGTATTCGCTATATTCGCCATTCACTTCAATGTGACTTCTGCAGGTGTGACAGTCACTTAATCTGTTATTCCACATGGAAGGGTGAAAAAAAAACCCAAATAAAGTTGATAGCAAAAAGGACAGACTCTAACAGGAAGCACAGCAATGCATGCTAACACAAATGGACCATCGCCATGGTGATCAAAAGACTAGAATCTCACAGATGCACTCCCATGACATGTGGCTCATACTATAAAACTTGCTTAAAAGTACAATTAGTATACTTCTTTTTATCATGTTATTCCATCATGATTAATGCCATGGGGGCAGTCACATAAAGGAGGAGTGAAATGCAAACCTGAAGGGATTATTGTGAATGATGGAATATGTTAAAAGTGCTGTAATAAATATTTAAGTGAATATGCAATGGTTTCTCACCTGCATAATGCCTTGAGAGAGTCCTGATCCAGAAACTCATGGTCTCTCCTCACAGCAGAGACCTCAATGGGGAACAGAGAGGCTGAGGGCACACAGAGATGCACCAATTAAGTAAATCATTCAACTACCCAATGGGGCTAATTAAAACCTCCTGAGAACTAATGTAACATTTAAGCAGTGGTCAGCAAAAGAAAGAGATTAATCCCACAAACATCAGAGGACATACTTTAACCCACATATAGAAATTTGCATGCTGCGACCGTAAACATTCACAAAATTAGAAAATCTTGAGATACCATAGTTGTCTGAAAGCATTTTCCATTATACACATAAACATTAGCATTAGCATACACATACATCAGCATATAAAATTGATTTACACATTGCTTTCATGATGTAAAGTGTTCTAGAGTGATAAAATGTATTATTATTATTAGAGATGCACAGATGGAGGGTTAGAGCATAAGCTGTCTTTATACGCAGATGATCTTTTGTTATGTGTCTGACCCTGGTACTCCATTCCAAGACCAAAATCTGCCAGCAGATCCAGGATCAATTTCAGGCTATAAATTAAACTTGAGTAAAAGTAAATTAATGCCTTGCTGGCAATCTGGCTTGGGGGTTTGTCAGTTTCTCTACAGTAGCAAAAAGAGTGTGTGTGTTGTTTAAGTTGCTGTTTATATATTATTTTTGTCTACCACTATTCTTCTTGACTTTCACAGGAGCAATATCATCAATTACACTTTTAACTTTTGAGTTAAATGAATCAAGGAGAAAATCAACAGAGTCAGCGGATATGCTTAGTTTTAAAGATATAGCCTTCATAGTGTTCTTATTTAAGCATCTCTTCACTGGAGCGATTTCTTTTTACTTAGACAATGCCCCCATTACTAGCATTATACACTAAACAGTTATTAGAGATAAAACTCTTTACATTCGATTATCATGAAAATAAACATAATGGGGCTTTAAACGCCTGTGAAGAGACAACTATAATACTATAATATTATTATTACTATAACAACTATAATATTAAAGATTAAAATTAACAACAGAATTAACTGGCATTTATTTTTGCATATATAATAGTTACACTGAAATAAAAACAAAAATGTTTGTATATAATAATTGCACATAAGGTATAGTTTTCATGAACAAATATTTAATAAAACATACACATATAAGTAATAGTAAATAAACTTCTCTCTACTGTTTTTATAGCTAACATAACAAAACTGTGAACATTGGATAACTGTCAATATTAAAGGGGACATATCATGCAAAATCCACTATTTTAGCCCTTAAATGCATTTTGTTGTACACTCACCGGCCACTTTATTAGGTACACCTGTCCAACTGCTCGTTAACACTTAATTTCTAAGCAGCCAATCACATGGCGGCAACTCAGTGCATTTAGGCATGTAGACATGGTCAAGACAATCTCCTGCAGTTCAAACCGAGCATCAGTATGGGGAAGAAAGGTGATTTGAGTGACTTTGAACGTGGCATGATTGTTGGTGCCAGAAGGGCTGGTCTGAGTATTTCAGAAACTGCTAATCTACTGGGATTTTCACGCACAACCATCTCTAGGGTTTACAGAGAATGGTCCGAAAAAGAAAAAACATCCAGTGAGCGGCAGTTCTGTGGGCGGAAATGCCTTGTTGATGCCAGAGGTCAGAGGAGAATGGCCAGACTGGTTCGAGCTGATAGAAGGGCAACAGTGACTCAAATAACCACCCGTTACAACCAAGGTGGGCAGAAGAGCATCTCTGAACGCACAGTACGTCGAACTTTGAGGCAGATGGGCTACAGCAGCAGAAGACCACACCAGGTGCCACTCTTTTCAGCTAAGAACAGGAAACTGAGGCTACAATTTGCACAAGCTCATCGAAATTGGACAATAGAAGATTGGAAAAACGTTGCCTGGTCTGATGAGTCTCGATTTCTGCTGCGACATTCGGATGGTAGGGTCAGAATTTGGCGTCTACAACATGAAAGCATGGATCCATCCTGCCTTGAATCAACGGTTCAGGCTGGTGGTGGTGGTGCATGGTGTGGGGAATATTTTCTTGGCACTCTTTGGGCCCCTTGGTACCAATTGAGCATCGTTGCAACGCCACAGCCTACCTGAGTATTGTTGCTGACCATGTCCATCCCTTTATGACCACAATGTACCCAACTTCTGATGGCTACTTTCAGCAGGATAATGCGCCATGTCATAAAGCTGGAATCATCTCAGACTGGTTTCTTGAACATGACAATGAGTTCACTGTACTCAAATGGCCTCCACAGTCACCAGATCTCAATCCAATAGAGCATCTTTGGGATGTGGTGGAATGGGAGATTCGCATCATGGATGTGCAGCCGACAAATCTGCGGCAACTGTGTGATGCCATCATGTCAATATGGACCAAACTCCCTGAGGAATGCTTCCAGCACCTTGTTGAATCTATGCCACGAAGAATTGAGGCAGTTCTGAAGGCAAAAGGGGGTCCAACCCGTTACTAGCATGGGGTACCTAATAAAGTGGCCGGTGAGTGTATATTTGGAGTTTTTATAAGTACAGAAAAGATGAAATTATTCTCTTCAGGTGCTTCGTTTATATCTTTATATTCTGTTTTGATCATATTTTTCAACCTGTTCAGATTTTTCTGTTTTCTATGACGTTTTTTGAACTATCACGTCACCGCAACTCCATTTTATATAAAGGGGCCGCTTTGAAACGGGTCGCTCACAGACGCACATCAGAAAAGGGGTAGAAAAGGGGCCTGTGGAGCTATAATAATGAGGAATTCAGACCCAAGCATTGCAGTTATGCTTAATATAGACCACAAATGTATGATTTATAAGTAAAAATGAATGATTTAAAAGCATGATATGTACCCTTTAATTGACATTGTTCACAAGTTGTTTTATTGATGTCTTTCTGCAGTTTTGTTCATGCATGTTTTTTCATGCTATAACTTGTATTAAAGTGGAAGAGATGACTCGCGCTCCACGCAGAAGTCTGTCATGTCACATTCAAGAACGTCAAAGCTGAGACTTTGTTTCATATCGGAAGTGACAAAGCACAAAGCTCTTTGCTATTATTGGATGGGAGGAGTGCTACAAATAATGGTGTAGGGGGAAAAAACGCAGACCTGACAACTCTGGCTTGAACTCATATGGTCGCTAATTTTTTTGAACTGTTAATGCATTATTTTGTTAACTTCAACAGCCCTAAATTCAACACAATAAAGATTGTCTTCACACACTGTATGAGACTGGCCGACAGTGAAAATAACCACTTTTATCGTCTGATACTGATTATTGGCTTATTATTAATATTACTATTATTGTTGTTATTATACATTATATTATTATTATTAAAATTTTTTGGCTTCCCAAAACCCCAGTTTGAATGTGACATGAACTTCACTTCATGAACTTGACATGAGGTTCACTATAAACATCAATGCAAATACTTCTGTTCAGTTTGGTCACATGCAACAAAGTTCAACAGACTGATGCATTTAACCTGTCAACATTTTTATCCAGATGTTGCCGGGCACACCTAGAGGAACCAGCTAAAGATATATTGGTTTGTTGTATTATTCAAATAATTTTTAGGGGACAATAGAGAGGAGACAGGAAAGTGGACAGAGGGTGTGGTGGGATGAGATTGAAACATAAAGGTCAGATTCAAACATGTCCTTGTTAGCACAAAGGCTAATGTGTGTTTGGAGTACATATGAAGAGTTCAGATGCAAAAGCCTCTAAATGCCATTTTAAATTTTCTTCTAAAATGACCATTTTTATCAATCTTGTATATTTAAGTTCAGTAATTTCACTTAAATGACAATTAATAGGTAATCTTCATTGCCATTTAAGTGAAATTACTGAACTTAAATATACAAGCTTGATAAAAATGATCATTTTAGAAGAAAATTTCAAATGGCACTTAGAGGCTTTTGCATCTGAACTCTTCATATACAACACAACAAAAATCATTGTGAACAGCTAAAAAGTCAAAGAACCTTGCTCTAAAATATAGAAACACTGTAACAGGAGTCATGTCTTACATTGCATCAGCGATATTCATCAAAAATGAGTTGGAAAAACAATTATGTACTGGCAAATAACAACCAAGGCATCACTATTTTAGAGTCTGAATGTGAGTGTGATGTGTGTACCTGCGTATTGTATGTGTGTGTGTGCGCATTTTTTGAGTGTGTCAACATTGCTGAGGTGTACCATTTCCAGCTTTTGTTTCAACCTCCTTCCCCTCTTGAGTTGCAGGTCCAAGTAATGACAGTAGTACAGGAATATTGAGCTCACACCACAAAAACAAAGCAAAGAAATCAGCCAGCTGCCAAACAAAGTCAAATTTAAGTCAAGCGAGGCAATTCTACAGTGTCCAATACAGAATGGCACACACAGTGTCAGTGTGAAGCTGACCTTTCTTTTGTTTATCAGTAACGAGAAGTACTCCACTTTCTCTAAAAATGTCTTGGTTATGAGTGTCCTTATCGCAACACTTCAAGGAACAACAATGAGTTTCACTGGTAACTTTCTTTCTTACACGCAATAAAACACTGTACTTTGATCTGAGTTTGAAGGAAATTTTCAATTAGTGCTGTTACTCAAATTCAGAAGGCCGATTCCAGACACGCATGAGCAAATACCATTAAATAGAGCATCCAGACCACTGTACTGCAATTAATGTTTTGTTTTCCTAAAAAATACATGAACATATAACAATATAACCTATTCCCCTTGTAATGCAGGGCTATTTTCAAGGATGAGGGAAGCCTGACTCGGAAATCGATGTTTATTGCCATGCGGTCACTTTTCAAAGGTAAAATTACACACAGGGCTGTTTTCAACACAGACACACACCAGCATCCCTGCTGTTTTAAAACACAGTACCAACTATTGAGTTTTTAATAGAGCATCAGGGGACAATGCCAAGTAAAAAGAGGGAAACCGCTGACTGTTACACTGAAGCTGGACATCAATACACAACAGAGATCACAGAATGCCTCTGTACTGACCAATACAAATTCATAACTGTTATTCTGTGATTAAAGTCTTGCTTTTTTA